ACTTAATTCATTGTGACCATTGAATTGATAATGGAGGATTTACCAACAATTCAGTGACCATAACAATTAAGTCTCCAAATTATGTTTCAATAATATTACTCATTTTTTTATTCTCTAAATAAATATGCAGATAAGTCACTCTACATATCTGCGAGAGAACATTATCTATCAGCACCACATAGCTATCTGCAAGAGATCTCACCGCACCTATGTCGGGACCGAAGTTAAGGTCCCACCGCGTGCTTTGAACGTTGAAGAATATGTTTATCCCTAGCAAACTGTTATATTATGAAGATTCGAACCCAAACATTGAGCGAAAAAATTTACATTCTTACCTACTAAACCATCAACTCGTTGCTAATAGCATTGCTCCTTCTAAAATGCATGACATGCATTCCACATCAACAAATTTAAATGATGGAAATCAATAATGATGCATGGCATACATTGCACACAATATATTGTGTGCTAGACGCATGCCTCTTAAGTTAAAAGAAATGTTATATATAACCACCATAAGGCTCTATTTAGATGGCGGTAATTGTAGTTAGGAATGATAATCTCATTCTTAAATTCATGAATTATTATATTTGGGTGGTTAATGAGTCGATAATTTATATCGAAAATAAAATCACTATTGAAATCAAATTCCTAATAATGGTGGGAATCTTAAACCCACCATCAATGGTGGTAAACTCATACGTACCCAACTTAATTAGGTATTCTAAGAAAGTTCTTTAAAAAATTTAGTTTATTGCTAAAGCTAAGTTATCTTCCTAAAATTATGTTCTTTCCTAAAATAAAGTTCATTACTAAAAACAATAATGAAATAGATATCTATTCCTATATAATTTTTGGAATTTACCTATCACTTTTAGAAATGAGATACCTATTCCCAATTAGAATCATTGTCATTCAAATGGGGCCTAAGACTTATTATACTTTAAAATACTGAGTATTGGGCAAGTAGGAAATAATACATTCAAAATTTGAGTGTGATGGAAATGATAATATTAAGATTAATGTATGACAAAACTAGGAAGAACAAGGGTGTGTTTGGTTTTCTTCTAGAAAATTGTTTTTTGTTCTCAAAATTTTAAAAACACCAAAACCCTATTTGCTTAATATTTTTGTTCTCAAATTTTTTTTAAACAAATAAGATTTAGAACACAAAAATAGAAAACAAGGTTGTGTTGTTTTTGGTTGTTTTTGAGGAAAAGAAGGAAACATGGAGAATAGATTAGCTCATTAAACAAGTCTTTCCTTCAAACTTTCTTAGCAGCAAATAAGCTCTTCCTATAAAAGGTTTTTTTTTTTTGCCTGTTGTCTCTTTTTTTTTTTTTGCCTCTCTATCTCACTCTCGACAAAATCGGAAGAAAGGAACGATGACTGAAGATCTTCTCTGGTGACTGGAGATCGTTTTCTCCAATGAGTGGGAGCTCTCTGGCTATTGGGTTACTTCATAAAGTGTAGTGGTGCGCACTCTTAATGGACATAGATCCAATTTTACTATCGTTGAATTCCACGCATTTGGTGAGTTTTTTGCATCTGGTTCCATGGACACTAATTTAAAGATTCGGGATATCAGAAAGAAAGGATGCACTCACACCTATAAGGGTTTTCGACGACAAAATCATCTTCTTCGTCTTCTCTAATGTGGATTTCAAATCTGGGTTTTAGATCTAGGTTTCAGTTCTTGGTTTGTCTTCTCTGGCAACTGTTCAGATCTTGGATTTTCTTTTACTGATCAGACCTTATTTTTTCTTTTTCTTTCTTTTTTTAATTTTTTTATCAATTTAATATATTAAAATAACTTTATATGAAACCGTCTATTCAAACAGGTTATACTATTTTTTATTTGTAAAATTATTTTTGAAAGCATTAAATCAAACAAGTTCTTCGTCTCAGTAACACTTTTCTAAAACTCTTCTAAAACACTATTTTTGGATATTATTTTTAAAGACGCAAACCAAACATGCCTCAAATTTTAAGAATGATTATGTTTCAAAAAAAATAGAGGTAACATCCATAAGAGATAATTGAAGGGAGAATGACTTAAGTGCTTTAAAAATATTTATAAATGCCCTACTTTAGCACTTGAGCAGCAGAGCCTCGAGAGAGAGGTCACCAAGTTAGAACAGCTACAAACTCGCTTTTCGCGAGGAAGTTGAGAAAGAGTGTTATTGAGGGTAAGCATACGAGTAGAGGAAGAATAAAATTAACTTCAAACAAAACAATAAAGAAAGATATAATAAATTATAGATTAATATAAAATATAACATTTGATAAAGCACAATGCCAGAAGAAGATTCATGTAACCGACTCCAAAAATATTAAAACAAGAATTTGTTGATTTTAATAATGATACTTCTACTTAATTAAGAAACTTAATACATTTATGTTCATTGGGTTGTCAATAGATTTCAATCAGTGCTAGAACCTACCACCTACACTAATTCAATGGATATAATAAATTAACTTCTCCAATTAGAACCCAAATTAAGTTATAAAACCATTGCTTGATGAAATTTTTTGTGTAATATATAAATAACTGAAAATATATGGGTAATTACATTAAATGTCAAAGTATATTCAGCACTTCTAACCTTTTTAACTTGCGTCAACATTGCTACATTTAAAAGAATTATAACTTGCCGTGATGGACCCTCTTGTGAGGAATTTCTGTTGGGTTTTGGAGTCAACACTAGATGGGACTGGTTTGCGTAGGGAATTTTGTTTTGAAGGCCTGGGTCAGCATGTGGAAGCCATTCCCTTTGGGGAAATGATACGTTACAGTCCCCGGCACGGGTATTAAAAATTATAATTTTAAAAATCATGATTGATCATAGGAGGTTGGGATTGATACTGAGATTTTCATGATTGATCATAAATCTCTATGATTAATCATGACTTTCTCTTGAACAATTGTAATTTTTCTTTTCAAAATTGTAATTTTATTATAAAAAATGATAACCGACGGCACCGATACCGATAAAGGAAAAAAATAATATTTTGTTTTTTAATTTGCATAAGGTATCAAATTTTTTTTTTTTGGGTATTGTATCTCCAAAATTTACTATTTCAATGAGTGTTTTTATAATTTTTATGGATCATTTTACAATATAGGTAATTTATCACTTTTATATGTATTTTAATCACTATTACGGGTGGTTTTACTATTGTTGTAATAAATAATTTTACCACTTTTCTTCGTTATAACAATAGTGAAAAAAATAATAACGATTAAATTAAAAAAACTCAAATATCACAACGGACCAGCCAAATCATCAAAACAAAAATGAATACAACTTGTTGTCTCCTCTAGAATAGCAACCATATTGAATCTTCATCAGCGGTAAACAAAGTATCTTATCAAGAACTTTTGTCAAACCATTCAGCCAGAAAAACAATATATAAAATTTATTACGATCACCAATTTTTTTTAAATAATATAAAAAAATAAATATAAAATTATTATAAGAAGTGGTGGAAGATTTCGCGGGGTGCCATTTCCTTATTCATTTCATCTTTGTTGACCTCAAATTTGCATATGGGGTGGGTATGTACGAATATTTTAGATATCTATATAATAAAACAATTAGTTATTTGAAATTCTATCCCATATATATTTTCTCCTCCAAAATCATTCCATTATCTATTTTTATCAAATATTTAATTATTTAATATTTGATTAATTTATAGTTTAATATAATTTTTATTTTAAATATTATTCATATACGATAATATGCTCATGTTAAGAAAATTTGTCAGTTTACATATTTTTGTCAATATTTTTAAAAAAATAATAGATAAAAATAAAATTTAAATGATATAATTAAATAAATAAAAAAATCTTATTTAATATAATAAAATTAATTTTTTGAACATTCAAATTTAAAATTTTTTCGTACCTCCGTGCACGAGTTATATGTGTTATTTGTAATAATTGCACGTCTGAGTAGGTTCGAAGCTAATAGTTGCTTATTTGACCTTTTTTTAATTGAGTTGACTTTACTACGTGTAGATGACCATATAGCATTTATTGATTATTATAGCGAAGTTTTCCTCCTGTCCCAACCTAACGAAAAATTTATCTAATATTTATATTTATTCTATTTATAAATGTCAGATTTTGTAAAAAAATATTAATTTTTTATTTTATTCTTAATTATAATGATAAAGTCAATTATACCTATTTATGTACTTTCTTCTAAGTTTTGTTTTTTTATTTCTATTTGACTTTCAATTTGTTCTAAACTCATTTATCATTCCTTCTAAATTATTTTAAACTCATTTATTAATACTCTAGAGGCAAATTCCATGGATGATAATGGCGTGGGGTGATCCAACGAATTTAGGACGTAAAATTAAACTTGATTTTAAATTGACACCAATCTATTTAGTACTTTAACTAACAATTTTTTGATCCAAATAAAAAAAAATACTAACAATTTGAATTACACATTTATAAAATCATAATAACAGTTGAGATTAATCCAATGTTCATTCAATTTCATTATAGGGTATAAAATTCATTTTTAAACAAAAAAATTTTAGCCTAAAAACATCATTTTCTTTACACGGTCTTTAATGTCACGTAAGTCAACTAACACACTTACCTCTCTTCTCTCTCCCCTATTTAGTTTATAGGATGTTTTCAGACGACGCCTCGTGTTACTTCTAGTGGCATGATTGTTAAGTTGGGTCTGGGCCTAAGACAACACAATTGGGTAACCGGTTAAGTTGGGTCCAGGCCTAAGATAACACAATTGGGTTACGTGCATGGCCGGGGCGGGGCTCAAAACCAAACAAGCCCAATACCCAAAAAGAAGGTAACGAAGCCCTATTATCAGTACGACAGTATCACAAAATTGGGGCTTATTTTCCATTTCTTGAGATCCAAGACAACAGAGTTGCTTTTTAACAGTTTGAGCAGAGGAAGAAGATCGATCGAACATACTTATCACTAGGAGGAGGAGAGAGAATTAGAGTTAGGAAGAATGAGCAGTATAGGCACAGGTTATGATCTATCAGTCACCACTTTCTCTCCCGATGGGCGAGTTTTCCAGGTCGAGTACGCTGCCAAAGCCGTCGACAACAGCGGAACTGTTATTGGTATAAAATGCAAGGATGGGGTTGTTATGGTAAAGCTCTTTGAATCGCATTTGCGAATGATTTTTTTCAGACCTTTTGATTATATGTATGTAGTTAATTTCGTGTTTTTTTTACTAGGGTGTGGAGAAACTCATAGCATCAAAGATGATGCTACCTGGTTCCAATCGCAGAATTCACTCTGTTCATCGTCATGCTGGCATGGTAGATCTATATTCTTTTGCTCCTACTGTTCTCTCTCTCTCTCTCTCTCTCGATTGTGTGTGCGAATGTGTGATTTCTTTTTTACCACAATAACCCTTTGTTCCCTAGAACGCTTAGCAAATGGAAAAGGAATTTTGGGTTGTAATGCTAAATGTGCATAGGGTTGATTAAGTGGTGGTTATAGTATTACAAGTTCGGAAAACAAAAATCCGTTAATTACAATGAAGAGCCCCATTTCTCATTAGAAAAAGTTAAAGATATCAAGGCCATGTTTGGTTTGTGTTCTCAAAATTTCAAAAACACCAAAAATCTATTTGTTTAGCATTTTTGTTATCTAAATTTTGGAAAAAAAATGAGATTTGAGTCAAAGAAACAGAAAATAAGTGTAGCTTGTTTTCAGAGTTTTCTTTGAAAATTTTAGAAATAAGGAGGACAATTTTGGACTTTCAGATATGGGTATATATATATATATATCTACATATTTATATACATTATGAAATAGTCAATATAAAAATGAATTTGTTAAAACTCTTCTCAAAAAACCGTTTTTGGATACTATTTGTTGAAACGCAAACCAAACAGGCCCCAAATTTCACACTAATTCATTATTAGCTCGGTCACATATGCTTTGGAAACTCAGTTCTGGAAGTGGTGGTCATAATAAAGCAAACCAAACCAAATTGTATGTCCCAATCATTTGTGGTCGACTACATGACTTTGTCTTCTCTATTTATTTCGATCATGCGCTATAAATTCATTAAAGTTAAATATTTTTATATCTTTTCTTATGATTTCATTCAATAATTTCATTTAATGTTAATTTAGGTCTACCTTTACTTCTAGTATCATTAAAAGAAATTCTATCACTTTTTCTAATCGGTGACTCTATCGGCCTCCGTTGAACATGACAAAACTATCTTAATCTATTTTTTCTTAACTTATCCTCAATTGGAGTTACTCCTACCATTTCTCTAATACGGTTATTTTGTATTTTATCCTTTCTAGTTTTTCCACATTCACCTCAGCATTCTCATTTCCGCTACACTCATTTTGTCACTATGTTGTTTCCTAGTTGCGCAACATTCTGTCCCAGACAACATTGTTTCCCTTATAGCTGTTTGATAAAACAAGTATCGGTCATAATCGTGCATAAAATTTCATTTTAGAATTTTGAAGTTAACCCAAAAATTGACTTCCTTCAATATAGTATGACAACAGTTTTAGTAGCTTTTGGCATCCTTCTACTACCAGTAGTTATACCATACTGCATTCTAAGAGATTTACATGTTTCTTGATTTCTGTGCTTCTCAATTCTATAACATCTCTTTTATGCAACTTAATTTCCCTATAAATTGTAGGCTGTTGCTGGACTAGCGGCAGATGGGCGACAAATAGTTGCGCGAGCGAAGGCTGAAGCAACAAATTATGAAAGGTTTGCATCTCGTTCAATGTGTTGAGCAGCAGAAAACTTCACGACTTATTATTTTGGATAATATTATACGAAACCTCATACTGGCTGGGATTTAAAGTAGAATTTACTAATTGTTTGATATCACCAGAACTTGATTTAGTTTGTTGAGGTTTAAACCTAAAACGTTATATGATGGTATATAAGGCACGAAACTAAAGTGTAAATCGGAAGTATGGTCAGTCTAGATATGGATGGAAATACACTTATTGGAAAAGAAAAAACAATGTGGCTGGAAATATGTCTTGATATAGGGCTGAAACTTATGGTGGACCTTATACTTAATTTTGTGGAAATGTTTGGTTTGCCCCTTGCAAATTCTTTTAAGCTTGTAAATGGTGCAGAGGGATAATCGATGTTGTTTACTTTGGGGGCTGAACTGGTTGTATAGACTCTTGTTATCTTTCATATCATGCGGAAATGGATCCATACTAAACACGTAGGAGCCAGATTGCGTGTGATTACAACGATGATGTGGAAACATTTTTATGTATACCTTTATGTCAAAATGTGTAGATGTATCGGGAATTTATCTCATGTCTGCTCGTAAAACACTTTAAGACAGGCGATGAGGAAACAATAAAACTTATTGTTTTTGAATTTACTCAATCAACGTACTAACAAAGTAAACACTACTAGCCCGATAAAACAATTTCCAGTGTGTGCTCTATTTGGTTCCTAAAGTCATTGACAGTTCAGATGGATGATTTACTTTCCTTTGTTAGGACTATTTGAATTCATTTACAATCATATCAAGCTTACAAAATGACATAATTGAACATTTGATCGCATTTAGATTTACAAGGCATCAACCCAAAAGTCAATATCCTCAGCATTATTATATATGCATTGTTTCTCCAAAATCTTACTTCCACTATTGTGATGAGAGCAACAATTGTTATTTTTAATGTGTTCTTGAAGTTATTCCATAATGAGCTACAAATGGTAAGCAAAGTAGGGCAATAATGAGGGTTCACATTTCCTTTTAAGGCATATTATATTTTGGGCACAGGGATGCGAGAACTAATCCAAGTCATCAACCATGTTTCCAGAATATTTGCTTCTAGCAAGATAGGGAAACACCAAAAATCCGTGTAACGTAGGAGCACTCACAATTTTTCACAATATTTGACTTACTCTTTCACTTGAATTTCCAAAACTATTACAATTAGAGCCAAATGAGTATTCTTTGGCTCTCTAACTCTCTGTCTCTCTGATAGGAAAAATGGTAGGGGTCTCCTACAAGCTTTGAGGATAGAGGTAGATTGGTTTTCATTGCTAATTACTATTAGGCCATTCGTAGCAAAATGTTGTTGTAGCCGAAGTGCAATAGCAAAACCCTTAAGTCTTATAGTTTTGTTCCTGAACAACAATCACTTTCGCTATTAGTTGATTTAAAGGCTTTTATGGTTATTGATTGTAATATAATAGAAAGGACACCAAAAACGCAAGTTCCATTCACATGCCAAAAAAAAAAAAAAAGAAGCTTAGTACTTGGAAAAAAGAGGATCCATTTGACACAACTTAGATGTTGAAAAGAAAGAAACCCTTTGTTCATTGCAGATAAGCAAGTGTCTTCCTCGATTACAAGACTATAGGAGTGTAAGAAGTGGGTTTTGAGGGTAGTAATCGAGGCATAACAAAATTTGGGTGGTATTTTGATTCTGTGAGTGTTTCACTCGAATGATGACTTTGGCTCATCCCGTAGTTTTAGCGTGCTAGGGTTGACTTTTATCAAATCCCAACAGGAAAAAGAATGATTAAAGAGAATTAGAGGAGGAGGAGAAAAAAGTCTAGGAGCACTAAGGGAAAAATATAGTAATCACATCTTTAATTAAAATTGTATAAAATGAGACACTTCATTTTATGACATTATATCCCTTTGAATCAGCTAAACATGATCTTTGAAGAGCCAATAACAGAGCTTTATACCAGGAAAACCTCCCCCGAACAACATTGTTGCCCATGACCGGAATATAGAGATGATATAAACTCTTAAATAAACCTTAATTAATCAAACTGGGAACATACTAACGACGACGTTGCACAAAATTGACCCCCCTTCAAAAGAAACCACTTGTTTTGGGATACTGTCTATGCTGTTGATTTTTTCTTGAGCCTCCTTGTAGTTGACTCTAGTTAGTGTGTTTTCCATCTTCCTGGTTTTCGTATCAAAAAAAAAAAACCACCATCACCACCACAAAAAACACATCATTGCTGTTCTGAAATTATTTGATCCTCTTAGTGTTGATGCAGGATTTTCTTAGAGTCCCAACACTATTTTTGGGATAGAACTGATAAAATGGTCTTAGGACTGATTATTGAGCTATGATGGAAAGATTACTGTGGATAAGGACTTTGTGTCTGGATGGTGATAGAGGCTTAATTAGCCAAGAAAAGGGCAATGTGCTAGGTTATTCTGGGTGCTGCGACGATGACCAATGAAATGCTCAAGTGTACCTTGCTTTTCCAATGCTTTCTAAGATCTTTCCCATTGTGTTTCAGCTTTGCAACTCCTCTTTTTCTGTTATTCTGCTCTGAGAAACATGGATTTTTGATTTTATAAGGTATCAACACAAATGCTTCGTTGTCTAAAATACATATATGTCCTTTTTATATGATTCTTGCTAGTTTGTTTTGTGTCTTGTTTGCTTTGCCTTTTATGGGGACTTGGTTCTTTCTGTTGAAGATTTCTTATGCACCTTTCCTTTTCAGGTCCCTTTTTCATTAGTTTCCCAAAAAAAAAATTTGATTTGTAAAAATGCAAATTGAGAGATCAAAGTGAAATTGAATATGTATCATGGAGTATTATTTGGGGAGTCATTCCCATTTTCATGATTTTTTCCCTTCTGCTGCGGATTTGGTCATATATTCTAAGCAGCTGATGTCAAATGATCCAAAATACAATCCCACCATTTTTTTTTCCATATATGTTTCCAGTTGTCAATGATCAGTTGATATTTTTCTTGTTGTGCAGTACCTATGGTGAACCTATTCCTGTAAAGGAACTGACTGAACGTGTAGCAAGTTATGTGCATCTATGCACACTTTATTGGTGGCTCAGGTTGGAGGGTTCATCTTTAAATTTTATTAGTGGATATTGTATTCCTTTTTCTGCTCTAGATACATTGGCTTTCCTTTTAGGAAAAAAAAAAATACTAAGAGACAATGGTTGCTGTTGCAGACCCTTTGGATGTGGAGTTATTCTTGGAGGGTATGACAGAGATGGACCACAATTATACATGATTGAACCCTCCGGTATTTCATATGTGAGTTGATTCTCTCCCGGGTCATTAGTGTAGTAGCTACAACTTCAGTCTTTCCTCATCTGCTTTGTGCATTGGCATGTACAATGACTTATGTTCCTGACTGTTTTCAGCTGCCTGTGATTTGTGAATGAAAATGTACTACACTTTCTTTTATTGTTGTGATATTTGGATGTCCTTTTGTTCACTATTGGTATTTGAAATTTTTGATAGAGGTACTTTGGTGCTGCAATTGGAAAGGGCAAGCAGGCTGCTAAAACGTAAGTTAATCATGATGTCTTCCATCTTGGACCCTTTAGCAAAAAAGTACCATTATGATCAATTGTGATTCATGGAGAATTGTGGAAATATAAATGTTGAAACTATTATTGACACTGCTGTCAGATAAGGCATTATGTTGGGTGTAGAGGCTCTGTATATTTATACTATTACTTGTTTTTGATTGCGCATGATACAATAATTCTGTGTATTTATATTATAGGCCTGTAAATTTGTTTTTGATTGCGCGATGCAACAATTTATTCTTAATAGAAATGGCGAAATCTAAGGAAGTTTATCCAGTTAGCATTTCATAATCAGAGAGGAGAAAGTACGTAAACTTGTAATTATTTTCATGAAAACTACACATATTCAGGGTTTATGAATTCCAGTTCATAATGTCTTAATATCATTTTGCTTAAGTTTCTGGTTGTTTGATTTTTCTGCTTTTAGAAAGGAAGCATGTTGCTTCTCAATGACCCAGAATTGGCAATTGACATGGGAAGGAACTATAAATTACCTGGAATCTCACAGAAAGATTGATTTTTATTAGTTGTTCATCCAATGAATTTGAATCAGTTGTGTCTTGCTCAGACCAACAAATTGTTCACTATTTATGTGCATCTGTATATTTTTTTTTAATGTTATGTAAGTCTTATTTTTTGTTGGGTTATTGCTTCTTTAGGTAATTAGGTGTTTATGGGGATGGCTACACTTGTCATGAAGGGTGGGAACCTTTTATGCTACTTTACTTGGATGCACTGTTTGTAGTTTAATTCCACCGGTCTCTTTGGTCTCGTGCCACTGTTGAAGCATCCATTTTGAAGTAGTATTGATTGCACATTTCCTCTTGCCAACATGCTTGTGTGATGTTGCTGTTTGGTTTTCACCAGTAGCTTTGATCTCATGCCACTACTGAAGCATACATTTCTGTTGTATTGATTGCACATTTACTTGTGCTAATGCTTATGTAATGATGCGGTTTGATTCCACCAATAGCTTTGTTCTCATGCCACTACTGAAGCTTCCATTTTGAAGTAGTATTGATTGCACATTTCCTCAAGCTAACATGCTTATGTCATGAACAGAGAAATTGAAAAGTTGAAGCTTTCCGAAATGACCTGTAGGGAAGGTGTTATTGAAATAGCCAAGATGTGAGTGATTCATTCTTTTAATTCTTTTTGTTTCATTTTCTTGCATTCAATGTTTTACTCTTTCTTCGATTCAGTCTTTTATGTATTAGAATCATTCTAGAAAAAGAAATAGGAAATCCCTAGCAGCTTATGCTAATTATGCACACTTTGAATCCAAGAAAGAAGAAGTGAGTTTTGAGGATTTGAGATCAATGGGTATGTGTATCACCTTAAATTTGGGGCCTTTGGGGTGAGTCTTATGAAATTCTGCAATAGATTCCTGGATTCTGACAGGCTTATCTTTATCCTAGCAAGGTTTCCTTAACTCTAATCTTTTCATCCACATGTAATAAATAGAATAAGTGCAGCACAATGCATGCGGGTCCTGCCAGTACGGGGTCTGAGAAGGGTCAGGTGTACGTAGCCTTAAAGGCTATTTCCGCTGCTCAAAACCCTTGATGCCCAGGTCATTGTGGAGGAACCTTACTATTATGCCAATGCCCACCCTACTTCTCCAAATATGTACACAAAAATGCAAACAAGAATGTTTCTTGTGAAAGCACAAAACTTTGTTTATATTTGTTTTGATTATTTTATTAGTTTCTCGTTTGAGCTTCTAAGTCCACAATGCTCGTTTCTTCCCTTCTCCAATAAATTTTTCTCTTTTTCAAGAGAAAAATTATGCTGACATATTTCATGAGCATATATTGTGTGTGTGTGTTAATTGATTATTGAAATTACAAACCAGATTTAAGGGACTTAAGGAAAATGTATATGTTTGTTGTTTAAAGGTTTGGTACTGAAACATAATTTGTATATTGCAGATAAAATTTTCATTTTTCTTGGGTTCTTGATTTTTGTTGTTGATTTTTATTCCAAAATACTAATAAAGAGAGGATTCAGATTCAAATCAGTGATTTTTAATTTCTCCAGCTTCACTGGCTTCATTGATCAAATTAAATTGACTAGTTACTTGGGATCTTGCTATTATTAGTGCTACATGTCCCTCTATAGGAGGATCACATGTCTAGGTTTCCATGCCTGCCAATACATAGGTGGACTTTTATGTCTGTGTTTGCTAGCCTGAGCATGAGAAGTGAGAAAGGGAGAGATAAAAATGATTTATACGTTGAGAGAGATAGAGAGTATGAGAGAGAGAGAGAGATATTGATGTTGCTGCTTTTAACTCTTAATCTGATCTTTTCATAATAGGAAAAAATCCTCTCTTGAAACTTGTAACAGTCCCAGAGTTCTTATTGTTTGCATGCAGAATGATTTAATTTGACATTGTTCTACTAGATACGCAAGGCTCTGTTTGAAACTTGGTAACTAGGAAGGGAAGAAAAAGGATTTTCAGAGAAGTTGTGATGAATATAGAGTACAAAGGAGAACGGGGAGTACAAAGGAGAACGGAAAACGAGTTTTTCTTATAAGATGGTGAGAAGATGCACAAAATCTCAAGAAAATTGCATCCTGTTTTTTCCTAAACCTTTCATTTTCTTTGTTTTTTTGGATTTTCAAGAATATCATTATAACCATTTGGGTTAGAGTGGTGGACAATGGCCATGCCGTTGGCTTTTGGGAGAGTGTGAGATACATGACATGCACTTCACTATTTTTCATCCAAAATCTTACAGTCACTGATTTTAGGGCGATGTGAAATCGATTAATATAGTTGAGGGAACAATGTAAGAATTTAAAGGGTTGGGGTGGGGGGTAAAGTGAGATTGGGGTGATAGTTTTGGTTGCTAAGTGTAGTTTGTCCAAGAATTTGTTACCTTGGAAACATTTGTAATGCAGCTAAAGTCTCACAACTCATTTCTTTCTAATACCATATATTCCTTGTTATTGAAGTATAAGCTATAAGCATCTAACACTCACCCGGACGGTCAAACTATCCACATGAAGAGGTAGACAGAAAACTTAGAAGACAGATCAAAGACATTACAAGGTGCACTTATGGCATGAATGAATGGGGAGTTGATTGCGAATCATGAAACTGAAATTGAGAGGCTTGCCCAAAACCTCATGAAGCCCAGTTTTGATACCATAAGAAAATATCCAATTCAAAATCCATTGGCAATTAATGCAGACGTGGACAAGGCAGATACACCGAGTATTATAGCACTGTGGAATAAGCTCTAACATTCGTAATCACTGACCAATGTTCTGCAAGGAGTACGTACAGATATCTCAAGACTTATGCTTCAGTACTGACTTGCACTTGCGCTTTCATCTTCTTCAGAGCCAATTCTACACCAGTTGTTCTCTAGTGATTTCACATAGCAGACATGATTTAGTTTAACTAAATTCTACAGGTGAAACAATATAAGACACATTCTAATTCAGCTAACTGAACTCGCATCCAGTGGGGAGTT